CGAAAAAGAAAGAATGGTTAGACATACAGCCAGGATGAGGCGGAGACACTCGGGCGGAGAGGCGTTAGAGGAAATGGACCTGACAAACATGGATGACGACGTCAGGACTCTGCGGAATGCCCTGCTAGGTGTAGTAGAAATGCAGGACTATCACACAACCATCCTACGGGACATCCAGCAGAGTCTGGCCGTGCTGGCCGGATGTGTTCAGGTACCACAGTCGTTCGCTGGACCAGGTGCCTGGCCAGTGGTGCAGCCCTCGCCTTCAGTCCCACCGGAGACTGGGGTAGTCCCATCTACACTACCGCCGGTCCCAAGTGTCTCACATCTTGGGATGCCGCCAGTTGGAGGGCTCCATGCAGGGCCAAGTGTGCAGGTTCCAATTCAGTCAGTGGTCTCCCAACCTTCGTCCCAGGTTGCAGTGCAACCTGCCGTCTCACAGCCAGTACAACAGTCGGGCCAACAGGTCCAGCAGCAGCAGGTACAACAGCCTGTAACCCAGGGTCCACAACCTGGTGTAGTGCCAGCTCAGGAACAAACAACGTGGGTCCCAAAGATCGCAATTGCCGCACCAAAGCCCTTCTCAGGAGGATAAGAAGGGTGAGGATCTCAACACATGGTTGAGGACGGTGCCGGTTTATGTAAAGTGCAAGCTGACAGCGCCTCACGAGGAAGTGCTTGTGGCTGCCTCTTATCTCGAAGGTAGTGCGGCAAGGTGGTTAAGTGGTTTAGTGAAGCTAGCCGAATACGGACACGGCTTCCGCTCCTGGGCAGCTACCCAACAGCTGGGTGACTTCCTCAGACTGGTGGAAGAACAATGGCATGACCCTCAGGAGGCCCAAAAGGCCACTGATGCGTTATTGAACCTGGGCTCCAAAAAGTTTAGGTCAGTGAGAGATGCCACAAACGTTGTTGAGCGTCAGATCTGTATTCCTGGCGTGCGCTATGACCCTCAGGTCTTGCTCATCACTTTCCTGAGATGTCTCCCTACAGAGATCAGGAATCAGATGGCGAGCGACGCAATGATCACAGTACACAACTTTCCCTCGTTCAGTAAGAAGGCCCTCAATCTCGAGGCAAAGATCGGGCATGGTCAGCAGCACCCCACGGACGGTAGGAAGAAATCAATGCCTCCTAATTGGAAGGCCAAGGGGCGCCTAATGTACGTCGACGACGATGGTAACTCCATCGAAATCGATGACGACAACTAGTTAGGAGTGGATGCAGAGTCTGGTAGCGCAGAGGCTTCAGGGGGTGGAATAGTTGCTACCAATGTACATTAAGGTAAGGCGACCGGTAAACGCCGAAGTGGCGCCCGGTCAAAGAGTAAGGCGGACCCCAATGCCACTCCTTGGGAGAAGGCGGGGCTCGCTGAAGACGTATGGAGGGACCGGTATACCCGGGCAGCTTGCATACGTTGTGGTCAGTACGGTGTTGTGCGCACGGTCCTCGCTGGGGGAACCTTCCCGGTCGCGTCATGCAGGATTGGCAGAATCCGCATGACGCTTCACGAAAAGGGAAGCGGCGGAGCCGCTCCGGCCGAGTGCGCCAGCTATACCTCCATCGAGTCCCTACGACAGGACAGGGTCTCGCGAGGCACAACTTACCTCCACCCGCGGGAGTTGTCACCATCCCTTAGGTGGGCGTATCCCCACCGAGCTACTGAACCACATGCGAAAGTTTTTACTTGCAATCGCGGAGGTGGCCTAGTCGAGGGCGTTTCTCGTATGCTGTAGCATAGGGAGTACGGTCCACGCCTAGCTCGGACCCGTACGCAAATCGTCACGTTGGGGCGTTGATCTCCCATGTGTGATTCAGCGTTGGTCGACTAGGACATCCTAACTCAACCACGCGATAAGCAACAAAACAAACGAACTCAGACAAATAAATTAAGCCTAGTCCTTTTTTTATATGTCGTGACCCATAACTCAGAAAAGCCTTTGTGTTTGAGCGAGACCCACACGAAGTTGCATAAAAAGAATGCAACCGTCAAGGGAATCATAACGCTCAGTCATGTGTACTGAGTTTATCTGCTATCATGGCGACACTTTATGCGTTACCCACATCCGCGCACCCTCTCATGGGTTTCGGGGTTGCGTACGACACTCAGGTGTCGAAAGCAAAATATCGTGAAGGGTTCTTCCTTCACGATATTGCACGACTGAAGGATAAGTTGTGCGGCCCTTGCGGCACACCTGTCTTTTAGGCAGTGGGTGACGATAAGCAAGAGGCATAGGCCCAACTAAAGGGGGAAACCCTTTTGTGCTGGACCAGAGTCTGGGCTGTACTAGACAAAGACCTTGAATTCCGGGCTCAGGACCAACGTCCGACTAATAATTTAAAAAGCAAAGCCCCTTTTGAGATGGGATTCGCTCGTCCCTCCCCCGAGGGAAGAAAAATAAGAGTGGTCGCGGGTTGGCGAACAATTCGCCGTACCCAAACTCAGTCTCGGTCCGAACAAAGGTCGAGCGCTAAACCTTGCGCTCCACTACTGCCTGCTCGCTAGACACGTGCGGCAGGAGCAAACTAAGTAAAAGAAAAAGGCGAGTCTCGGGGGAAATCGGGGAGAGTCATTCTCACAGTTATAGTTGAACCTTGTCACTCACACCCTGCACTCATTCATGCATATCACTCTCAAATCCAGGAGCGAGTCCTCACTCCCATACATACCTGCACACACATGAAACCCAATGAAAATTGACATCCAAAATGCCACAAAACGTGGTCAACCCCTTTGCTCCTAGGTTTATGTCCCACACGCCCCTTTCCGACCCCCACTCAACAAAGGTATGCCCGTCCGATCCATTTCACACTACTTTTGCATGGCCATTTAAGAGAGGTTCCAGGGATAGATTTTCTTTCAAATGGAAATGCCTTTCGCCTTCAGGGTCTCAGACATTTGGGCATGGGTATCACGGTGGGTAGGAGTTGAGTCGCAAACCGACCTGCTATCAATTCGATAGCAGAAGTTGATGAAGCTCAAGACTTCGAAGAACACTCGCCGGTAGCAATAATCTGCGTCACAAAATCAATGCAGGCGTCGCCTGTAGAGTTAACGGAGTTCAACTCCATATTGTACTATAAGCTACTTAGTAGTAGCGTCCGGTAACGATGCGAAAATCCCAAAAATTTTGGCGGCACTTCTTTTAGGGAAGTGTGCTCAAAGAATATTTGCTATACCAAATCTAAAAAGAAACTCATGACTCATAAAATCTTAGAAAATAAACTAACTCTTTGGTTTCAGTAGAAATTTTGGCAGCACTTTCTTTAGAAAGCAAGGCTTCCAGAATTCCTACCGACTCCAAAAACTAAATTACATTCTAGTTGACATCTTTGAACTTGACTAACCTTGAATATTTAGCAGAAATTTCGACAGCACCTCCCCTAAGGAAAAGAGGTTCCCAAAACTTCTACTAACTTAGAGGCTAGCCAAAGTCCTATTAAAACAATCATGCATAAGGAGACAAATGCAGAAACGAAGGTGACCATCTGCCTGCCTATCGCTCAAGCATAGGGCGAGCACTAACAAACTACCCTACTATGCAGAGAACAGACAAAGCCTGAACAAAAGTCAAGTTATTGTCAACAAGCATATCAAGTCCACAATACATTCAGCCAATTCAACACAAGGGTCGTTCATCCAAAGTTTTCATCTTTCGCTTGTCCTGATCATAAAAACATTAGTCCTGTATCTTACTTAGTTCATTAACTTTCCAAGTTGTTCTAGTACCTAAAAATAGCTGCCCCCAACCACAGATATTCTCACCAGATGACCTGCCGTCGATTGTGATGACCACTCGTTGCTTCGGCACAACCAGCATTACACCGTCGTTCCACCTCAGCATCAATCACACATCAGATATTTCTCATCACACTGTGAAACACCCAATATCACCTCATAGCCTTCCTGGTGATACCCCTCTCCGCCTGTGTTGCATATTGTAACGTGCAGACCAGAACAAGAACCGACCTTTCAATACAAAGTACAAGATAACACAGCGGAAGACTTAGATACCAGTGATCCGAACAATCAATGTTGTAATGCAGCCCTGAACATACATCATCATCATCGTTACATGGTGTGAATGGGTCTGGCGGTTCACACAGGAAGACAGCGCCAACCCATACCATACACAGACGAAGAGGAAGGGGATAAACGAAGAGGAGGGGGAAGATGGGAATGTCGTCAACACCAAGTCTCCGGCACAAGCCCAAATAGTCCCTCGTCGAAMTGTCTGAATCCCAAATGTCAAGTCTGGATCCAATGTCGTCAAGTCTCAAGTCACAACTCTGTCTCTCTTTGTCGTAGTCTGAGAAGTCAGGAGGCGAGAGGGTGAGAAGAGGTGGACTTAGAAGAGGAAGAAGAAGAACTCTCTCTCTCTCTGTGTCCAGCACTAACCTCTGAAGTTGGCGCCTTGATGCAGGTACCACGAAGATGGAGCTGGAGCGATGGCGCCACAGGTAAGTAACACTGGCCTCCGCCAGTCTCTCTCCCACTCTACTCTACGATCTACCACCTACCAGCGCCCAACGCTGAAGACTACAGCTACAGCTATGGCGCCCAGCGCCGAAGACTACAGCTAGCGCTACTACTACTAGCGCTGAAGACTACTGCAGCGCTCCTCCTGAGTGCTGCRGMCGAATCCTGAAGACTACCACTGCCTACTGACACTACCTACCCGTGAAGTGCATGGGAACTTCCTATGTACTACGGGTGTGCCTTCTGAGCCTGCCGAAGGGAGGCAGGGGCTGCAGCTGCAGCTCCTGCTCAAACTCGTGAGGAACAGGCTATTTCTGGCTTGTTCCGCATCCCTGTTTACGTGCCTRAGTCTTAGGGGCCGGTCGAAACAATGAGGGCCTGAAAATGGCCCTCCGTTTCAGGCTGAAAACTCTGGGTCTGAAAAGACCCAGAAATAGGCTGAAACGGGGTAGGGCCTGCAGGCCCTCGTTTTTCAGCATCCAGGCTGAAATGAACGAGGCCTGTAAGCCCCAAGTTTTAGGCTTTTAGGCTGAATGTCCGGGACGGGCCCTGCGGGGCCCGTGTGGCTACGCAGTATGCCACCCCCCCCCCCCTCCTTGAAGAACCGAGCTTACCTGCGAGGGTGAAGCTGTCTGTCTGAGGGAGGGACCACAGTCCGGGTGGGAGGGGCTGGTCGTGAAGCTTCCTGAGCTAACCTGCGCTTTTCATAATGCGCGTAGATCAGCGGTGCGGATGCTTTCAAATCGGCGCCTGAAATCCACCGAGTGTCGTCACGATCGCATGCTTTGAATGTGACTTTGTACTGCCGCGGCTTGCTACCGTACTTGCGATCGGAGATGACGTGGTCAACTTCCTGATGGCCATCTATAGAAGGAGGGTCCTGCGATCGTTGGTCCGGAAAGTCGTCGCTCTTGGCTGGCGTGTATGTTGCCAACTTCGAGGCATGGAAGACCGGATGGACCGTCAGATGCTCTGGAATGTTGATCACAAATGAAGGGCCATCGGGCTTATCGCCCGCGGCTGCTGTCACAGACCAAGGTCCAAACCACTTGGGAAGCAGTTTGCGTGAAACATCCTGTTCCAGTGCAAACTCTTCCGCGGAGACCCAAACCAGATCACCGACGCGGATGGGACATGGTAGGCGACGCCTGTTGGCTTGCTGCTGCATGCGGACTTGAGCCTTTTGCATATTTGCACGGGCTTGAGTCAGCAATTCCCTGTACTTCCGGACGGAAGCGGGAGAGCAGGCAGCGTCAATGTCGGCTGGTCGAGGGAGAAAAAGGTCTGCGAAGATCCGGCCTTTCCGTCCACCGTGGTGCAACTCGAATGGAGTCACGCCGATCGCCGGATGCACCGAAGTGTTGCAGGCGAACTCGATGTCGGGGAGGCGGCCAACCCAATCGTTCTGGTCTGGACGGAGGAGCGTACGAAGCATCATTTGAGCGGTCTGATGTGCCCGCTCCGTCTGGCCGTCTGTCTGAGGATGTCGAGCCGAACTTGGTTTCATTGTTGTGTCGGACTCCTGCATGAGAGCAGTCCAAAAAGCCGACATGAAACGAGTGTCGCGGTCGCTGACARTGTCTTYTGGTACACCGTGGCCACAAATCCAACCAGTGTGCAGGAGGCGTGCCAGCTCGGGAGCCGTGGAGTAGTACTTGCAAGGGAGAAAACGCGCGTACTTACTCAATCGGTCCACCACCGTGAGGATGCAGTCGTGCCCGAGCCGGTCGCGAGGGAACGGACCGGTGACGTCCATGGCAATGGAGAGACCGGGTTCCCGTGGGATAGGCATCGTGTGTAACTCGCCGTAGGGATTGCGGTTGCGGGGCTTGCTGCGTCGGCAAACTTCGCAGGAGTCGCAATACCGAGTGACATCGGTAATGAGGTCGGGCCATCGGAATCGCTGTCGAAGCCGTGCGGTTGACTCCGAAATGGCCGGCGAGTCGTGAATCATGGTACTCGCCGAGGAGTCGAGTCCGAAGACGACGGTCACGTGGGACACATAGTAAGTCCTTGCCTCTCGAGTGGAGGAGCAAGTACCCGTCGACAATGCGGTAATGGCTGGCCGGCGGGTGATCCGAAGATAGTTGTGCATAGAGCGTGCCGAAGTCCGGATCAGACTGATATGCCCGGATGAAGTGTCGTTGAAGCTCCTCGTCGAATGCGAAGGCATGATGTGACATAGCGCAAAGATCAGGTCTTCGTGAGAGTGCATTTGTTGCGCGATTGGAGAGGCCGGGGACATGTTTCGGTGTGAAGTCAAATTGGTCGATGAAGTACATCCATCGTCCGATCGTGCTGCTCACCGTGTCCTGCGTCTTGTAGTAGGTCAATGGATTGTTGTCTGCGACCCATGTGAACCTACGACGCCCAAGGAGGAAGTGTCGCCAGTGCTTGAGAGCCATCACGAATGCGAGCAGCTCCTTCTTCCTTGCATCATCAAGCGAGTTGATGGGAGGCACTTTGTGGCTAAAATACTCCACAGGGTGCCAGTCGTCGCCGTCGTGCTGTTCCAAGACTGCCCGATTGCCATAGCCGAAAGCGTCCGTAGTCACTCGCGTCGGCAGGGTGGGGTCATAGATGTTAAGGAGGGGTGCCATGAGCATAGCCGTCTTAAGTGCTTGGAATGACCGGCGTGCGTCGTCATCGAATACGAATGGCACCTTTGGCGACTGTAACCTCGTCATAGGTGCAGCAATCCTGGAGTATCCGGTGATGAATCGCTGATAGTAGCCCGCCAACCCCATGAATGAACGAACGCCCGTGGTGTTGGTGGGCTCGGGCCATACTCGTAGGGCCTCGATCTTGTCCGCAAGCGGACGGATGCCTTGCGGCATCACATAGAGACCCAAGTACTCCAGCTCCTGCTGTGCGAACTCGCACTTGTCGCGGTTTGCTTTGTACTTGGCCTGTCGTAGCTGCTCCAAAACGGTGCGCAGGTGTTCCACATGCTCGTCCAGACTCTGGCTGTAAACCAGGACGTCGTCGAGGTAGATAAGTACGAAACGATCCAGCATGTGTCGGAACTCCGTCGTCATAGCCGCTTGAAAAGTGGCTGGGGCATTCGTAAGGCCAAATGGCATGACCAGCCATTCGAAATGCCCATACCGTGTCTTGAACGCGGTCTTATAGTGATCCTCCTTGCGAATCTCGAGTTGGTGGTACCCTGACTTGAGATCCAGCTTAGAGAAGAACTGGGCGCCGCCCAATCGCTCGAGAAGGTCGTCG